GACATTTAATGGGAAAGGGGCAGAGTTTCAGACTAATCAAGTCCAAGTCAGGTTGCATTTCCATCTCTCAGGACAAGAAAAAATGGCTTCAGGAGCTGGCAAGAAAAGTCCTGCAAAAGTACTTGGAAAAAGTCAGGGGAGCTAGGTTGGCTATCTGAGTAGTAAAAAGAAAGCTGGCAGTAGTCAGCTCCTATTTGTTTAATATACTCAGTTCCATCAGAACAACGGCTCCCCAAGGCAACTGTAATGCCTCAGCTTTGTCTAGGAAATAAAGTGGCTCAACAAAAGAAAATTACTATTCATGGGGGATGTGCTGAAGGGGTAATTCAAGATTTACACATATGGTCATGGACTCTAAATGAACCATTGAAGCTCAACTTGGCAACATGAACTCAGGATTTATTATTCTACAAAGTATCAGCTCAAAAGAAGTCAAACACTTGGAATTTTTAGAAAAGGAATGGAGAACAAAATGCCATTTTCCAGCTGTGTAAGTTAAGATGCACCGGTATCATAAATATTGTACAAGGTTTGCCTCCTCCCATCATAGAAAATATACAGCTTGGAATTAGGGAAGGTTCAGAAAAGGGCAATTAAGATGAGAAACATATTCCCATGAGGAGTAAACAGACTGGTACTTTTCAGCTTGGTAAACAGATGATCAAATGAAAAGTAGCAGACATAAAAGCAAAGGTAGGACACAAAAGCTGGGAGGATGAACTGTCCATTAAAAGCTTCAGAGATATCAAAGGAAGATGTCAGTGAGTTCTTGGCACAATATATAGCTCAACTTCATAACCTGTTGCTACACAAATTTGTGGCTACCACTGGTTTACTGCTATTCTAAACCAACAATTACGTGTTACGTAAATCTCAGTGGACTTTTCTTCCATGAGATACAAAGTCGTAATTTTGTAGGAAGACCATTGAGTATGACAGATGAGAATACACTGGGGTGGTAATGGACAGAATGTCTTTTGGGAGCTGAAAACTCAGGCTGCAGATACTGAAGTGTTGCTCTGGTGTTAAGATTTCATCCTTTCTATAGCTATGTGTCCTCTTTGGATAGCAGATATTTTCCTTTGGAGAATGTGAACCTTGTGAACCAATATATTACCACAGGCATAATGATGGAATTTGAAGCTTCAGCAGCAGCAGCAGCAAGTGATGCAGTCTGAAGTATCTCATTTTCACATGTCCTTGAGCAACAAAGACAAAAAGTCCCTCCAGCAGTCAAGAAAATGCATATATTAAGATTAAAACTCATTTAAAATGCAGCATTAAGATTACTGCTCATGACAATTAGACAATGAAAGGATCTTTCCAGTACAGAGCTCAAAGAATCTATGTATTAAACCTCAAATGTATCTCTAGCCTGTTTCATCATTTTAACCTACAACCAGTGAAGAAAACTGGAAGCTTGTGCTCCCCTCTCATACTAGAGTTGGTTGATATTGACTTTGTTGTTTATTGGAAGGCACAGATTGGCTGGTGGGAGTTTAGGATTAGCAGTCCTGGTGCTGGCTCTCCTGACATTACCTAGGGGGAGAGCAGACTGCTCTCCTCAATATCCCAAACTGCCCCTCCACACCCATTCCCCCAGACTTCTGGGTAGGGCTAAGGGCAGTGACTTTAGAGGAGATGAGAAGCATTCCTGTTTTGAGGACAACATAATGAGAGAAGTATATTCTCCTGCTCCTAACTTCAGGCTCCCAGTCCCTGTGGCAGGTCACTCAAATGAGAGATGCCATTCCCATGCTGATGCTCAGTGTTACGGTGTGGCACTGAGGATCACTGAGTGCAGTTACCTGGGAAACGCTGAGGTGACCACCAGGCATGTGAAGCAGGGTGTTGGGTATGTACTTGCCAGGAAGGAGATAGAACACAGAGATCATCATGGTCCTGCATTATAATGCACACTGAAAGAGCCTTTTGTCTTTTGCCAGCATGAGGAGATACGAATGTGCAAAAAGGACTGGAAGTAGAAATTCTACACATGGAACACCTGTCTGTTACTCTCCAGTATAACCTTCATCAAAATTTAATTTTAGGAAAGGAAAAAATTCAGAAGTTGTTTGTCTGAGGGATAAAGCAGTGGTTCTGACAAAAGCACCACAATACCTGGAGCTCATTTAAACAAATACAGAAACTCTGTCTTTTGTTTTTCCTACCTCCACCTGCACCTGAATGCCTATAGCAGAGACACTGGTAACAGCTCCACACTGAGTCTGTTCATACATGGAAAAGGTACATGAAGTTTAACTCATTGTCTGGACTGGAGCTGACATGGTAGCACTCCCTACACTAATCCCTAGTGCATGGATACACTGCTGTAGCAGCAAAGATTGCCTGAACAAATACTTCACCAAATACCAACTACTCCAACACTTTACTACCTGCAGCTGGCAGTTCAGTATATTCCTGTCTTTATTTCTCTTAGTATCTTTGGGAACCATGGAGCTTAACCTCAAGCCAGGCATCCTTGGTAACATTCATTTCATACTCCCTTTGAAGTGGAGTCCTACACTGACTCCCTCTGTGGTGGGGTTTTAAAGCTTCCTAGCAACGTCATGCAGTGTGTTACATGCAAAGAACATCCCATTATGTTTTCAGGCATCTTCTACCAGTCAGGTTTGCATGGTTTCTGAAGTATTTTCAAGAAGCCAGATGCTTTTGGTGTGTCATTCTGGAGGATCTCTGTTGCACCCTGGCCTGACCATACTTTTGGATTTGGAGTAAGAAGAAATCAATTATTTTTTCTTCTATCCATCAACACATTAATAGTCCCATGTGAGAATGACTTACAGTCAACAGCAGCATAGGCAGGTGTGTGATAGGCCTTCTCCATTAGGAAGACAATGTAGGTTGCTTCCCTGATCATGCAAATATTATCTAGTCAGGCTTTATGCTTAGCAGTTGCACAATGGCCTTCAAGTTAATCAGTGTTCATCACACATGCAAGAAGAATGGGGCTCCTGAAACTCAACTTTAAAAGTACTATCTCATGCGCTGACTTTAAAGTCTGCCAACCTCTTCTCTTCCTAAATGATCAGTAAGAAGTGATTGGGGTATGTTATGAAGAAGATCTACATGAAACAAGTTTTATTTCCACTTTTTTTATTTTTTTCTTAATTTTGTACACATGTATTTTAAACTACTGGCTAGAATGTCTATTACATTAGAATTTTACTGTTTCAGTCAAAAATTGGTTAATGCCAAACAAAGCATGGCTAATTCCTTATTTGGAGGTCATTTAGAATGGGAACCATGGAGCTTAACCTCAAGCCAGGCATCCTTGGTAACATTCATTTCATACTCACAGCCCCCTTTGGAGTCCTACACTGACTCCCTCTGTGGTGGGGTTTCAAAGCTTCCTAGCAACGTCATGCAGTGTGTTACATGCAAAGAACATCCCATTATGTTTTCAGGCATCTTCTACCAGTCAGGTTTGCATGGTTTCTGAAGTATTTTCAAGAAGCCAGATGCTTTTGGTGTGTCATTCTGGAGGATCTCTGTTGCACCCTGGCCTGACCATACTTTTGGATTTGGAGTAAGAAGAAATCAATTATTTTTTCTTCTATCCATCAACACATTAACAGTCTCATGTGAGAATGACTTACAGTCAACAGCAGCACAGGCAGGTGTGTGATAGGCCTCTCCATTAGGAAGACAATGTAGGTTGCTTCCCTGATCATGCAAATATTATCTAGTCAGGCTTTATGCTTAGCAGTTGCACAATGGCCTTCAAGTTAATCAGTGTTCATCACACATGCAAGAAGAATGGGGCTCCTGAAACTCAACTTTAAAAGTACTATCTCATGCACTGACTTTAAAGCCCGCCAACCTCTTCTCTTCCTAAACGATCAGTAAGAAGTGATTGGGGTATATTATGAAGAAGAAACACTGAAGAGTCTTCTCTTGAATCTCCCTGGCTATTTCACTTCCTTTCAGCTGTGACACTGACTGCCATTCCCTATGTTCTACAATATTCCCACTTCAGGGCCTCACACCAGCTGCTCTGACCCATGTTTTTGGTCTCTGCTCTCTATCAGCCTGCAGTGCTGCTTTGTGGTGTGCAGGACAGTCAACAACAACTGTGCCCAAACAAGTCCACGTGGCATTTGCAGCCTCAACTACACAATCTGGCAAAACAGAAGGACCTTATATTTTCTCTTCCAAGCATTTAAATTCATTAACAAGTATAAGATCTGAAGCTCAAGATCATTCAAGCTTTGTGCAGCTGGAAGCTCTTGCACCAAACTGCAGGTTTTTGTGCAAAACTCCACTCTGTTGAAAGATGTTGGCTGTCTCAAGTAAGGGGCTCATGGAGAAGACCGGAAAGAGCACACTCCTGTTTACATGGGAGCCAAAGAATCCATCCCTGCTACCTGAAACACCTATGAGTGCATTATTCGTCTGTAAAGCACTTGGGTAACTTATCCCTAACTTAGTACATATTCAGACAAGAATCATTCCACAAAGCCATCTTCATCCATGACTTCCCTGTCCTGGAAAAGGTTTCCAGTGGCTCATCCTTGTGAACAGGTCCTTCCTGAATATCCTCTGTCTTTCTATACATAAAACATCTCTCTCAGTTGTCTCTCCCAGTAAGTAATAAAGGGACTGTTTTATCACCTGACAGGGATAGGAAAGGAGCAGGGAAAAAATAATTCTGTATACAATGCAGCCACAAACACAAACACTCTGTATTCTTCCCTGACCTTTAACTTAATTTTGAATTGTAAACGGTTACTGATAGCAGAAAAGGGAGGAAGATAAATATACACAATAAGAAACTTTTCTGCTTTATGAGTTTAGCTGCAAATCCCAAATCTTTATGCTTGAAAGTAACTTTTCGTCATAATGAATCTGGAATGCCTAAAAGTTGTGGGAAATCTGTTCTTCTGAAATACCGTCCTGTGGTCTTTAACTGGGAACATCTGGTAGAAAACTCTACTGGTCAAAATGTACTAGCTAATAAAGACCAGAATACATTTCCACAGTTAGGGAGTTATGCATGTTTTATATAAAAGCATTCATGACATTACAAAGCAATCAACACTTAAAGCAAAGGCAAATATTATTTTGTAAGGCATGAAGGAAAGATACATCATTGCAATTTAAAATGAATTTTATGGCAATAAAATAACATACTTTTTTAAAAAATAACAGAGCCAAATTAAAATATAGCCAAACCTAAACTGTCAAACTTCTTAAAGCAAGAGATCAGACAATTATGTCAAATATGTTTAATTTTTTTCAAAATAACTGATGGCAAAATAAAATATTTACATCATGTCATACTGTGTAAACATGTAACATCACTGTACAAAGAAATATACATGCAAAATAAAGCAAAAAATTTAACTAAAACAATAAAGGAAAATAATACACAAACATAATGATATGAGGTTGGTACGAATAACGAATACACATCCAGTTTCGAAGTCAGTTGTTTTCTTTTAAAAAGTTTCTGTACAACTTTACAAAAAAACCCAAACAAAACAAAACAAAACAAAAAAAAGAATAAATAGGATTCAGTGGAACTCACAAAGCTCAAAACTAACCCAAGCTAGGTTATGGCTTAACACCCATATATCTAACTCTTGTGGGATGTCGGCTTGGTTTCCTTAAACATGGCATTTCACACAAACAAAGATGACAACACACCCACATGAACTCAGTGATGCACAGAAAACCATCTCTGTCTTTTTAAATATCTCACGCTAATATTACTTCAACCTTAAAAACAGTTACTAAGACAATTACATTACATGTCCAATTCTCCTCATCTGACTGCTACTTGCCAAATATATTCTTCACCAAAGACCACAAGATTAATTTGTTCATTTCACAGAAAGAAGTAAAAAAACAGATTTGAAAATTCTAAAAAGTAGTTAAGTGTTGAGACTGATTTGGGGAAAGTCAGACTTTGGCATTTTAAATATAATAGTAATAATTTTAAAAAGTGTCACTCTACTTCTTAACCAGTTTGACATTTGGGATACTAATCTCTCTCTCTCTCTCTCTCTTAATTTTTTTTCTTTTTAACAATCCTTAAAACTGACTAGTCTTGACTAAATTCCATGCTAATCCTCATCTTAAACTAATAATGACAGTGTGGTACAACACACCCGCCCATGCCCACCCAGAACCCCCAATCACACAAACAAAACCATAAAGCTCGCCGTACTATGTGCTTTTTCTATATATTTATTACAGTTACAACAGAGGTCCTCATAAATAGTTGCATAAAATGTTAAAGCCACAACATTGCACATGATATGAAAGAAAACAAAATCCCAAATGAGTGCATTTACAGTATTTCATCCTGCTGTATACTGCTTGACAATTGGGTCAGCAAGCTGGGCACCAACCCAAAGTTCTTTTCTAGGGGGACAGTGACTACTGACCCAAACTGAAGACCCGCACAGTGGTATACCACCATTTAGGAAGGAGGGGGGAAAAAAGGATGAGAAGAGGGAAAAAAAATTACAGACCGAAGGCAGGTAACAGTCTATATACAAGTAAGGCCTACATTTTATCAGAGCAAAACAATTCATTCTATTTGTATGCAAAATCTTTTGAGGTTGGATGCACTTAAAAGCAGAGTCTGATCTCAGTGCACTGCTACGTGAGATACATACAGGCGAGGCAACTGGAAAGCTCTAGGACCAAGTGAAAACCAGATGTTATAAATGGAGGCCGTACCAATGGGCAGCCATTTTAGTGAGTCTTCTCCAGGCATGATCTGATTTTTGTTTAACACCAGTGCTTTAAACATAGGCATTTCTTCCTTGAATAAATCTTGAAAACGGTAGCTAAGTTCACTTGCAAAATTCAACTCTTGTTTATTAAAAAAACTATTTTTTTTGCAGAAACCTGAATAAAATACTGTTGCTGTATCGCTTGTGACTGCTTTTTGCAGAGTACAGTGCTATTGTCCTCCACCCCCGTGAAGTCTGCATCTCCAGTCCCCCGCGCCGCCCTGCGCGGGTCCCTGTGGAATGCATTTGCACACGAACATTCACTAGCAGCTGGTTGGCTTGGGGTTTGCTTTCCTCAAAATTCAAGTCAACAGCTGATTGGCAGGAGGAGTCTATCTCCAGTCTGATTGATTGGCAGGAGGAGTCCATCTCCAGTCTGATTGATTGGCAGGTGAAAGAGAATGAGAGAGAACTTCAAGCAAGGTCAAACTCTTGGCAAGAGCCTGCTCTGTAAGAAGTTTTTAATGCTACGGATGGGTCGAACATCATTCTGGTGTTTTCGCCGCTCAATGAACGAAGTCAGTCTGGATATATCAATGCTGTCAGCACTTTTGCTATTCCCCAGCTGCAGCCATTGCTCCTGGAGGGCCAGTGCAGCCGAGGGACGCTTAGCTGGGTCATCCTGAAGTAGGAAGCATACAAAATCTTTGGCCTTCTGGCTAACTCCTTTGAAGTAGTCATCTGGGAAACTAAAGTCTAAGCGGCAAATATTCAGGCAAGTTTCCTCTACGCTTTCATCCAGGAAAGGAGAGACGCCACTAAGAAGGACATAAGTGAGCACTCCAATGCTCCAAACATCTGAAGTGAGTGAAACAGGATTTCCAAGAATAATTTCAGGAGCTGCAAACTCTGGGTTTCCAAGTAACTGGTGGATATAATACGTGGTATTGAGCTGGACTGCATCTCCAAAGTCAGCCAGTTTTATTGTTGGCTTAGTGGAACTCTGGTCCACCAAAATATTTTCAGGCTAGAAAACATAAAAGCAAAAGTTAAAATGTCTTTTTTCAAGTCAGTCTCACACACATTTAACTGCTTCCCAGCAAGTGTGGTCAGCCCTAGAACATAAACAGCTGCACTCTATAGGGATCACTGCAGAAGGCCAGCTCTGCAAAGCTAAGGCAGTCTTAACAAGGCTTCCCCAGACCAACCAGCAGGTGGACTCTTGCCTATTGCAACATGTAATGAATGTGCTTTAGCTCTTGTAGCTGCTGGCACTATATTTTTTGCAGGAAATATAGCTCTGCCAGTTAATACTTCAGTTGTTCATGACAGCAGCTTTGCAAAGCTTCACAGGAACTGCGTTTCAAAACTTAAGCTTAAGGAACAACAATTATGAATAAAGCAACTGCTCCATTTGTTTTACAACAGAGACAACAAAACCCTTGCATTTAAAGACTGGAAGACTTTGTAAATATTTGCATGATGCTTTCAACAGAATCCAGCTTTATTTAGCAACTCTTTCATGTAATGCAGCTGTACAGATGGAAGACAAACCCTGTTAGGAGACTATGGCAGCAGAAGATTCTGTTGGATGCATATGACTTCAAGAGAACTGTCCCATTATTGGTGAGCTGAAAGTGCACTTATTTCTACAGTTTTATTTCTAAAGCTACTGCTGCTGTAGCTGTAATCTCTGCAAAGTAAGAGCAACTTACCTGCAACTACTTTTTAATTAGTTCATTTGTATGTGAGACTAGAAAAAGTACTGGTGAACTCTCTATAGCACATTAGAAAAAAATTAATGGCATGAAGACCCAAAACTGGTTCTGCTTGGAAAACAGAAGTACATGGAAGAAACAGACTCGGACTTTTTGCTTCTTCTCACCATGACCCCATTTGGCTAAGGAGACCCTGCCTACAAAGATGACTTGTCAATGCTAAAATTATTATTCATATACAGGTGAAAAAAAAGTAAGGAGTAAGTTTTTTAATTAATATTTACATTGAGACCTTCTCACATAGTTTTTTAAACCAGAATGCATAAAACACTTGTGGCTCAAGTAACACCAAAGGGAAGAACAAAGGCCCAAAGAGGCACCATTAATTTAGGTATTACAGCCCTCAAAGTGCAAAGATGAGAAACACTTTTGCATCAAAAAAGGAAAAGCAGTCTCTTTCACAATAAACTCTAGGCTTCTTGAGAAAGAAATAGTCTTCTGGTGCAAATTTATCAGAAATTAAATAAATAAATGAACAAATAAATAAATAATAAAGCAAAACTTCCAGTTAGCAATTATTTCCAGCACAAAGGGCCACACAAGGCAAGCGAGCTATAAGGAGAAAGCATAGGGAATTGAAAATTTCTGCTTTGCTGCCTGTGTTACCTAAAGTATTTAGGAATGGAGCCCGAAGCCATTGGGGAGTCCTTTATGACTCTCAAAGCATTCCACAGCTCTCTGTTCCCAGCTGCAAGTTTTCTTGAAGAGGGAGATTTTTGTGCCCAGAATGATGCACACTGCCCAGAATCCCATTAACACCTCACCTTTAGGTCCAAGTGTGCTATTCTGCAGTTATGAAGATACTGCACAGCTTCCAGAATCTCTCCCAGGTAGAGTCTGATCTTCCCTTCTGTGAGGTTTCCCCATCGCACGACATAGTCCAGAAGGCGACCCTGGTCAGCCCTGTTAGAATTACAAGGATTGTATTTTGGATTAATCCATGCATCAGAACTGAAAAAAAACCTCAAGAGGCTACAGGCTACAGCAGTAACTGTAGCCTGCACAGCTTACAACACAGAGGACTGGGGTATGAAGAGGAGATATCACATCCAGCTACCAGATCTCAATATTCCTAATTCACTTTTGTGGCCATTTGATACAAAAATACTGTTGAACCTTCAGACTAAGATAATCATTCACATGTAAATTTAATATCACTATTTTCTCTCTTCTACTCAACATTTTAGTAACAGCATTAGACAACTGCAGTATTTTACTTAGGTACGTTCAAACTGCTACAAAATTTTAGAGCTCCTTATTAATTAACCACCATAGATACCCCAGAAAGTCATCTGTAGAATTGCATTTTACAGAGAATTTAGAGTCCACACACATTTCTAACACTAGTATGTAGTTGGTGGAGGTCTCAAAGGTATCGAGAAGGCCAATGAGCTGGGGATGCTGGAGATTCTGCATGACTCCAAGTTCATGGGTAACCTGGTCTCGCTTCATCAACTTCTTATTCACAAACTTAGTGGCTACTGCTCGCTTGGTTCCCTTCTGGTCACACCTCTTAACGACAGAAAATCTGCCCCTGGAACACAACAATGAAAAGAAAGATTTCACCAAGAGATGCAATAAGGATATACTGTTACTTGAAAGATATACTCCAAGAGATCTGATTTTAATCTCTAATAAGTTACCCTTACAGAGAAGGTTCTGGGCATGAGAATTTTCAGTGCGTGCATCTACTACAAATTGTGTCTGTAGAAACTTGACAGATATCTGTTATATCATACTTGCAGACAGCCTGTCAGAGTAATAACCAGCTTTCAAAGGTCATCATTAAGTTGGCCCGCTGTATATTCTACAGGAGTTATTTTGCCCATTTTCAGACTACTTCTGTCTGTAGTTTTCATTCCCTAAATAAGAAGGTTGAGGAGAACTTCACTACAGAAGCAGTGTGAGTCACTGTAAGGGATGCTCAAAAAAGATATCCCTTCAGATAAATCCCTACAATACCACTTCAGCCTAATTGCATTCTGTTTCTGTACTGCCATCTAGTGCTGGTAGAAGTTTTGCTTCCTCACTTCTATTAAATCCACACATTAAGTATTTATCAAGGAGAATTTAATTTTCGAAAGAGAAGTCAGTATTTTGACACAGACAGCTTTGGAGATCAGCATACAGAACTCACCTGCCAAGCTCAGCCACTTCACTATAGTGGGAATCAAAGTTGTCTTTCCAGATTACCATGATCCCATCACTTCCAGGACCTAAACAAACAAACAAAAAAGAGAATGACAGTATGTCCAAGATTTAATACACTCAGATCCCTTGGCTATGGGGGGAATCACCCCATCTTATTAAACCCCATATGAGACACAGGGTAACAGCAGGACAAACTGGGTTATACACCAAGGCAGCCCAGCCAATGCAGTGAAACCAATTCTATAGTGGAAACAACTCAGGTTACAGTGGCAACTGTCTGTACAGGAATGAGTAACCTTAGCAAGCTGAGGGAAACAGTAAAAAGAAAAGACATCTTACATTATACCTCATCATCCATAATACACCTGCCACTGGAAAAAGAAGTAGCCAGGCAGTGTAGCAGCTACTTTAGAGAGCAACTCTTATTTTTCAGGAAACACTAGTATAAAAACCAAAATTTCCCTTTCCCTTTCTCTTTTATATATTGCAACACATTCATCCAAGGGCTTAGCTACTGTCTGTCTTGGGTCAGTGAGCAGGAAGTGCCTGAAATAATCACCACCTCAATATCTAGTCAGTAAAGCACTTATTGTGGCTACCAACAGGTAGAGCTCAAAGTGGCACCACTGAATATAAACACCCAAAAATTTCAGATGAGATTTGGAAGGGACACATCTTTCACGGTCTGGTTTAAAATTCCAGGAAAGCAGCAAAGCTCTTTGAAAAAAAAGGGAAGAAAGACTACATTTTGAAGAGGTTTAGGACAAGTCCCCATATTAGCTGAGACACTTCATGTCTTGGGGTGTTTTATGTGAGTCAGTTTGAGACAGAGCCATTGTGCTAAAATCTATTAATTAATTCTCACCAGTGGAAAAATATATAGGCCTCACAACAGACTAAAGCACCCAGATGGCATCAATTGTTATGAGCTGTCTTGTAAGAAAATTTGTGATCCTGCTGGCTATATTTTCCCTGTTTCTAAAAATGGAGAATTATGAACACTGAGGACAACAATAATTGAGTGTACAAACACACCCCAAAACTTACCACTATGTCATCAAACACACAAAAAAAGATCTTTTTTGCCCTTTACTCTCTGCCTGCAGAACACAGGCATTTTTTTATCTTTGCACGTTTCCTTTTCATTCCTCACAAACATTCAGGTTGCCTTACTTCATGTACTGAAATAGTTCAACTGTAGACCAATGATGCAAAGACAAGAACTAGTTGTATATTCTCCTAAAAATTGTGGCTTTACAGTTCAAGCAAAGGAGAAAAATAAATTACAATGTAATGCTACTCTTTTCTTATCTGTACACTTTAGAAATTATGTGAGCACCATAACATTCACTGAGACTAAACTAAGAATGCTGATGATAAAATATGGTTTTATCAGTGTATTTTAACTAGTACTGGTGATATGAATCCATGTTGACAGTACTGTGGAATGTATGCATGAACCTCTAATCCGTTATATCCTAAAACTGCACCTACTCCTGCTGAAACAGGCACTATATTACAGGTAAAAAGGATTGTTGTCAATACTCCTTTAACAAAGGGGTGCCCAGGAGCTGAGCTTTTCTTTTTACTCTTCTGTGGGTACCAGGCACTTCAACTGTACCTGGGCTCTAGAAGGAGGCAGACAGGCCTACCTAAAACTCGTAGACTGGCGGAGGATGAAACCGAACCCATGTCGTTTGCAGCTATGCACGTGTAGATACCATCGTCTTCCGCAGTGACGCCAACGATCTTCAGCGACGCCTCTCCCAAGTCACTGCAAAACACAAGGGCAGCTGTTAACTTTACAGTAACTGCACAGACCTTAAGCTATGAAAATCAGACAAAGTTAGGTTGATATTCTTTATGCTTCTTATTCTCCAGTTCTTATCTCTCTCTGGATAAACACAGTAAAACCCTGCCCTGCCATATCAGAAGTGTCCACCAGAACCCGAGCACTTTGTGTTCATCCAGTATCTTGGAAAGTCCTACAAATCACTAGAAAAACATCCCGACTGACACTCTGTCTCACCATATCTCAGGCTTTACTGTTGGAAAAATCAAGTGCTTCCCCTGTTTCTTCCTGCTTCCTTTACCAAGTTTTTGGAAGCCATATCGAGACAAATATCCATCCTTGCTCTTTCTGAAAGCTTCATTTCCATCCATGACTCCCAGGAGGTGTCAGCTCATCAGTCATTTGTGCTTTCAGAGCATTCAACCCTTTTAAGGGGAGGCTTGCCCTTCAACACAAAAGGCACACTTCACCACAACTCTGGAGACCTCAGAATCTGGGAGAAGGAGGATGGAAAGAAACTAGAGAGGACTTAAGTTTACTCTCTGCTCCAGGGCAGCAACAGCATTAAGCTAGGTAATACCAGAGCAGAAAGGTTACGGAAGAGCCTGCAGAGTCTTTCTCACTGTTCAACCACCCTTTTTGTTTGATTCTTTTGTCTTTAGAGTCTGCTTAAAGTTTCCTCTGTGCAATAAATTTCTAGTAGTCTTTTTACTATCTGCCATGGACATGAACAAGAGATAATTTAATTTGCAAGTCTCTTAAAAATGTGAATACTTGGCAAGTCCTCCCTACACCTTTCACCTCTAGGCTCAAACCAATCCTAACATTGTGTTGTTTTTTCACAATATAATGCATATTTTCAACATCTTTTATCAGACTTTCCTTTGGATTCATCTCAGCTGCTACAAGTCATTTTACTGACTGACCTAGAACCTATTTGCAATGGTCTTTACCACACAAACTCAGGGGGAAAAAAAGGAAGGTAAATTTTAGGAACATAGGAAGATGACGCCCTTCCCCAACTCAAAGAACATTTCAGGATTATTTTTAAATATCTGTTAGCCACAGCCAAGATTATTCACTGCATATAATTCTGTAATGAGTAACAGTGAATTAAACCTAGCAAATTTAACTCTTACACATCTCACAACAGCCCTGGATGCAGTAGTAAAGCTGGCACATTGCCTCTGTCTTCCCATTAAAAACAAACAAAAAACCCAAAGAAAAGGCAGGAGCAGCAAGAAGTAAAGAAGAGTGAAAACATGCCATCAAGTTTGCACAAAAAAGCCCTTCATTCTGAATTAAGAGTGTAATTCATAAATACGACACTTCTTCACACTGAAGTTACTCATTAAACTACATTTTCTGTATGTAAAAGATGCTTTTTCAGAAAAAAATAAATTTAACCTGCAGCTTACTATTCCAAAACAACAAGTTCTCCTGAAAATTTCTCCTGGTGTTTGAGTTACCAGTTATTCTGTTATGTTCTATCATAGTAAAGCTAAAACCAGAGAGAAGTGTTACTATCCACGCTTCAACAATGAAGCGTGATGTTATCACATCAATAGGAAGCAGAGGCTTCTTTGCAAAACACAGTGGTGTGATGTGAAAGTCACTAATGGAAATAAGGGACTGGCAGAGTCTGTCACAGAACTGGCATGTCACAACACACTGGTCTGTTTCAAGGACCAGGTCAGTGTGACAGACCACAATGGTTTCTGCAACAGCTAATGAGAAAGAGCAGATTAATTTTATTTTGTTTTTAAAACAAAAATTGTTTTAAATTTTTGTTACCCTAGCCGTATGCAGAAGTTACACAACATTTCTGGAAAAATCTCAGTGATGACATATTTCTGTCTGAGAGCAACCCTATCCTCATGCCTCAAAGCCAAACGCTGTCCCGCACCAGGGGTGCAAATTAAAAACGTAACAGTTTCAGGAGTTCCTGTTGAGCATGGCACAAATTACCTGTAGGAAATGCTGTGATGACCGTCATTGCTCAGTGTATTATGATCAGGACCTTTCCAAGTAACTGAAGCCTTGGGGCGACCACAGACTTTACACCTAAGCACGATGGTCTCTCCTGTCTCACATGTTACCTCACTCAATGGAATTATAAACTCTGGGGGAACTGGAAAAAGAGAATTAATGGCATTAGGTAAAATGAAGCAAATGCATTTAATTTCTATTCCTTGCACTGTTTTCTATTAGAAGAAGTAGTACTTTAGATTCCCAAGGTGTATATATCCTGTGCCCTTGGAGCACATTCATGGTTAGGCCCCTTGCTGGGACTACAGGGCTACTGAATTTTTCTCCACATGAACTCGGACACAACACTACTGCTGTGCCCCAGATAACTCTGAAGCCTACCATGGTGAACAAAACAACCAGTTTACGGTAAGTGAGAAAAGTCTACACTGAAAAGTATTTAAAGATGTGCTCAGCTAGGCTATCCTTATATCCAGCCAAGTTTGCAAAAACCACTTCATCCACTGAAGACCATAGTGCTTCCCCTTTTCCACAGACTCAAAAACTCAAAACTTTTGTTTCTGTCTATTAAACTAAACCCCAGTTTGGCTCTGACCCCAATGGACCACCATCTTTGTCCTGATCTGCCTCAGCACTGGAGAGGTCCTGAATATTCCCTAGGGTGGAAGATTGAGAATAAAGCAGCTCCAAATCCTGGCCTTGTTACTTTGCAAATTCAGCAAGGTCACACTTCCATACAGAACACATCATATGGTCCTTGTGTTTTATGTTGTTTTGAACTTGTGAACAAAAAAGTGTTTCTTGCATCTTAAAAAAGAAATATGCTGTATTTCATTCTACCTTATCTATAAAGAGCCCATATATATTTTGGTAGAAAGCACTCAGTTCCTGACATAATTCATATCAAGCAAATAATGTTTTAATCAAACTTATTGACTGAAACTTTTAAAAATTAAAGCAACTTACCATCATAAATGTAATTAGGGTTGAGAAGCTGGAAAAGAGAAATTAAAGAATTAATGTCCTGATAATCTAATAATAACTTAAAAAATGGTAGAAAACCAAGCACAGAGATGGATCAAAGTTAGGTGTACCCACAAAATCCAAGAAACACCTGAATACCACAATTCCTGCACCACTCTATTCTTTTTGTGGTATCTTTTTTTTTTTTTTTTTTTTTTTTTTGTATGATGCTTTCAGGTTTGAAGGTTCTCACTTTCTGTTTTCAGATTTGGCAGAAACTGTTCGCTAAAGTCACTGCTGCCTTTGACTCCCTCCTGTGAAGTTCTGACTGAAGCTCCTTTTAAAGAAATCCCAACCCAACTTCTTTTGGAAACGACATCTTTGAACACTTACTTTTACAGAAACCTTGTTGGCAAGTCCTTCTCGGGATTTGCGATAACCATTTTCTAGCTTGCCTTCCCTTTTGCCGTCTTTATCTTTTTTCTCAGATTTCTTCCTTAATCGGAGTGCTGTGTGCCAAGACGTTGACTTCCTGAACACAGAACATGCAACTCTGATCAATTCTTTTCAACTCCCTGTTATGTCCTATATTATCCAGTTTCACATGGCATTGGAAAAGCATGTCAAAATGTTATTTCTATGTATTATAGTACAGTAAAATGAAATGCATTAAGTATTCCATAAAGGATGCCATCCTTGTCTAAAACTGTGAACAAGCTAGTGATGTACTCTGAAGTTCAGTATTCCTTGAAATCATTGCTTGAATGGTAAAACGTGAATACTATAGTTTCTATATGAAAATGCAAACTGTCAATCAAACCGAGCAACAAACAGTATGAAACCCATACCAAGTGCAGCCTTACAAAAGCTTTACACAAAATTCAAACTGAACTTTGATATAATTTCTTCCATCACAGAGACGAGAGAGCTGTTCCTAGCATAGAGTAATTTTAATAGGTCTGCGGCTTAAAGCACATATCTAGGAACTCTGAAATCTTGTTTTATTTGAACAAACATTCCCTGTTTTCCTAGACAAAGATGTCTAGACTGGCAACTCATTCTATTAAATAAACAAGTTAAAATAAATGATTTCTGCTCTTAGATAAGGCATTGTTTTCCCAGAAGACTAGGCTACTGAAACTCTTTAATAAAGAATATGTGCTTCTGGGATCTTTTTCACTAGCTTTATTTTGACGGTTGCTAAGGGACCTCTCTAGTACTTGTTCTGCTTGTTGTTCATTTATTTCTCCATGATCACATCAACTTTTGGCCTTAAAGGTTCAAAGTCTTCTCTAAATTGGAAGTTTTCTTCCTTCCTCCCCTTCTACACACACCCAGGCACTCACTTGATGGTTCCATCAGGGTTGTCAATGATGATTGCACTGGTATGCCCCAAGACATAGCCGGGAATCCAGCCCTCGGCTGCGGGGCACTGATCGGTGGCGGCTCTGAACACCAAAAACATGTTCTGTTGGTTGCTGGCTAGAATCTGCACGACCTCTCCTTGGTAGACATTTATCTCATCCTCCTTCACTGCCGTGTAATCGTGTGTCACCAGCATGGTGGAGATATTGCTACTGCTGCTACTTTCACTCTGCAAGCGTCAATCAGAAGCAGAGAGCAGGAGGAAAAAAAAAGAGAATCAAGTTTAAAACTCATGAAGAAGACAGGCTGTTCTTGGCCTGCTACATTACCTACCTAATCCACTTGGTTTAAACTGTAGTCAAAGAAAAGAGCAATGTTTTCTCTTTTACAGCTGCCTGTGTTGGTTTATCTTGTGCATTAGTCTGATATTTGAACATCTTTATGTAGTGCTGCTGCACAAATTTATACCCAATACAGTTACTCAGTATAATTTCCATTAACTACGAGTCAGTTTATTAATAAATCTCAACTTGTCTTCCTTTCAAGCTCAGACACTGAACCGTACATCTTTATCAGGCATCAAAACTATAGTACAAGCATGTAAGACAGTTTTTCATGGTCTTTTAAGTTCAGTTTCCAAATCATAGTCATTAGATAATAATAACTGGAAACTCCAACAATGAAAAATACATGTAGTCTTTCCTAGCACTACCTGTCAGAACTCAGACACTGCCCTTGTGCACACAAAACGTGACAAACTACAAAAGAACAAAACAGGGTTTTGAGAGCATCTCTCGAAACCACAAGACTTATCTCTGGTTGCATCTGTATGATCAGATTTATTATTTCAAATGCAGAGGATGAAGTAAATTACTGAAATAAGAAATTATTAATTTGACTGTCAAAATAGACCCACTAAACTGTAAGAATCCCTTCTAATTGATCAGTGACTAAGACAGCTGAATGTTTTTACCTGTTTATCATATACTTTCAACTACTCTTCATGATTTTGTTCATTTCCCCAGCAAGCATTTGTGAAAGCTAATTATGGCTGAGAAAGTGTACATTCAAAATCATATCACTTGCAGAACAAAAAGCCTACTCCTGATAACAAACCTATTGGAAATTATTTTTTAAAAGTAAGGCTTACTTTGTCCATTTGCATCTATTCCTTATATATGAGGTTTAATAAATGGAAGTGTGAAAACCATTATCAGATTACACAATCTACTCCCTTAGCAATTATTTATTTCTTGAAACATGTTAAAACCAAGGTGAATGGCCTACTAATGATGTGGCACAAAGTGTGTGTGTGTCTCTGTTTTGTCTCTGTTCTTACTTCAAATTGTTTCAGGTCACTCAGTGCCAGTGAGGGCTCAATGTGGCTCAGCAGAAGCTGAGCTGAAAGAAGGAAATGAGTATCCATGTCCTGAGTACTCCTACTGCTTATAGAGCAGAACCCCCTTAGTACCATCATGTGCTAGTAGCCTGTGGAAAACTCGGCATACAGGATTAAAACAGCAGCATTTTTCTTCCCCTCAAAACTGTCAAATATTTCTCAAATATTGAGGAGATGCAGAGGGGTTCAGTTAACAGCATGGTGCCCTGGGAGCCCTAAACACTGTGTTCTCTTGCAATCTGCTAAAGGCCTCAAACAAGTCACTCCATCCCTCTGTGCCTGTGCTTTCCTGAGGACTCTGGCTGAGAAACCAAGACATTTGGAATGGAACACTCTCAGATTACTAATTTCATAGCATGTTTAACACCCTGATGCTTGGAGTGCCAGTGACTCTGTACATTTTATTCTAGCTGGACTGTTATATTCAAATGAGTGACTCAAATCTTCTTTTTTTGCCACATTAGAATGATTAAACATATGCTACCTCAGTGAGAACGATCTCATTGTGGATTTTAACTCTACTAAAGGATATTTACATTAGTTTAAGATGCTGTCTTTCCAGTGGGAGAACTAATTTTTTCTCATTTAGAGGATGGTCTGCATGGCCTTTTGTATTAGTAAGACCTTTCTATGAGTCAGGCAAACTGGGAACAGCTGAATCAAAGAAATTAAGTCTCATTTTCAGTCATTATTTAAATTAGGATGACAACTTGCTACATTCTTTTACCTAGATGGAAAACTACTCTATTCAAAAAAGCAGCTTTTGTTGACTCATCCTGTTAGACTTACAGGGAAAGATGAAGGAAAGTTGCAATATCAACCTAAGCCTCAAACCTTACCCCACACACTATTCCTGAACACCCTGTTTCTTAGGATGCAGCAGAATTTGTGTAACTGCAAGACTGACCTTTCTATAACATAATGTTTCTTTCTGACATTTAAGTCTTGAAGGATCAAAATAAACTCTGAATATTTCTTATGTTAAACGGGGACAGTTAAATCTGTTAAATAAACAACTGTCTGGTAACTACTAAGTGACAAATGTTCCTGAGAATGTGTTTATACCAGAATTCATTCTCACCACAGAGAATTAGCCTTTCCTTTTGCCTTCCAAGGAAGTAATTATTCTTGCACAGTAATGTTTTCTTACTGAAAGTACTTCTGGTCATCACTGACCTCAACTATGGATTAGAGGAGGATCTACAAACAAAATATAAAAAGTTCCTCCCATATTCCTCAACTAGCAAAACTTACTCTTTTTGTTCTTAGAAGTAATTTTTCCTTAAGTAATCGACCATAGCCATATGTGCATGTGTATATACATACAAAAATAGTTAAATCAAAATAAACCTTCACAACCCATCTTCTCCAACTTGTTCAATGTGGTGTGGAATCCTGATGATTGGTCTAGAAATGAGGTTATAAATGAGGACTTATGGCCCATCTCAATTACCAAATAAAAGAGTTATATAGCTGTAAACACAGAGCTGTGAAGCAGAACACATGCATTCCAACATTATATTTTACAGTGAGATAAAAACAAGCAATGGTGTCTTTGCTGAGATAGTATCAAAATCCAAATGTTTTGGAAACTCAGTGCCATCCCATCTTTCTCCTCTTTTCTTTATGCAGCAACCTGAATTAGTATTGTGCAAGTACCATCATCTTAATTCATATACTATGCAGTAAATGCAAAATACTCAAATTACCCTAGATTTTGCATTACATTACATCACATCACATTTTGCTAGACTGAAGATAAACACAAGACAGCTAAATAAAAAAAAAGCTGAAGGAAGATCAGGATAAAATTACAAAACATGCAAAGCATTAATTTTTTTTTATTCTGAAGCTATTATAAAAGTAAGTATAAGAACTAAGAAATCAAGAAAGCTTTGTGTGTTAAACAGTTCTATAAGGAAACACATGCATTTAAAAAAGGTCCAGCAAGTTAGGTGATTTGCAAAACTGGTATTGTATACCATTTATGAGAGAGTAGAAAAACAAACATTCATGAACACAATGCTTAGTGAGAGAAAAATCAAATGTGAGTTTGAAAAGAAAGGCACCATAACCTGCCTACTGCCTCCATGGCAAATGCCTCAACAGTTCTGCTTTATATGTGCACGTGCCCCAGTGCTGGCTGTGTTGCTTTCCTGGTGGATGTTATTAGGGATAACGTAGATTCTGTTGACAGCCTGGATTTCTGCACAAACACACCAAGTGCACACTAAGAGGCTGAATCTCCAGAAAACCAAAACCAGTTCTTCTTGCAAAGGAGAAAAGACAAGTGGAGCGGGTAATCGTTTCGGTTGTAGTAGAAGTAGGATTATTGTTGCTAGATTTTGTTGGCCTATTTTGAGTGGATTGCAGAAAGGTTCCTTGATCAAACACAGGATTTTAAAAAAGATTGATGTATAACAACTAAGGCTGAAAGGAGGTGGGTGGGGGGGAATACATTAATAAAAAAATAAAACTCAAGCAGCCCAAGGAACGTAGATGTCTCCACGAAGTTAAAACTCAACAGGACAATGGTGGGAAATCTGTGTGTGGAAGGGAAAAAAGCCCCAAGGCAATCTGCCAAAATCCTTAAGTCAGATTTAAGTGCTGGCACAATGCATACCCCAAGGTGCTCTGGCTGCCACGCTTCAGCATGTTAATAATGTGCCTTCAAATTAGAGACGAAAAAAGCAAGGACAGCAAGTTAGTAGGTATCAGCCTAGTGATCTATGTTTTCAGCAGAGGCAGAAATCGCATCTAATGTTAGCAGCTGCTTTTGTGTCTGTATACATAGCTATGTCTGCATGTATACACACACACAGGTAGACACTCTTGGATTTTTAATGCGCAGAAGATACCGGAACAGTTGATTATTTCAGAGCAGTGCAGCACCGGAGAGCCAGAAGTTAGTACGGAGAATGATGGCAACGCACAGAAAAGGAGCATGGAAGGTTTTAGAAGAGCTCGCAGGACAGAGGTGCTCCGCTCTTACCCCATTACTCTGGGTGGAGTGAACTGACTGCTCGCTGGTCGAGGAGCATGTGCTCATGCGGTCTGTGTCCTTGCTGTGTGAAGAGTGGCGGTGGACCTGCCGCTGCAGGGAGTCACTGTCCCCAGGGAAAGTGAAGGAGCCAGGGCGGCTGGCAGGGGATGCTGGGATGGAACTCCAAAAGGAGCCCTTCTGCAGGGGGCTGCTGGGTGGAAAGGTTTCCTTGCCAAAAGGAGAAGGGAAAGTCGTGGACAGAGGAGAGTTCATTGGAGAGATGGCTCCTGGCCTTGGCTTCCCAAGCGTCAGTGATCCTATGCTGTTTCTTGTTCGACTGTCCTCTGAGATTCCACGTGAGTCTTTCTGGGCTCCATCAGCTGAGCCAGAAATGTTTCCTGCTGTCTTCCTGGGACTTTCAATAACTTTCATCTTGGGAATCTGTTCAGCTTCTCTCTGAGGACCATCCAGCTCTGCACTGGGAGGGTGCCTGTCTGGCTGGCTCAGGCCAGCTTCTAAAGAGGTGTTGTAGTGTGGCAGGGAGTGATTGTGAATGGACATACCTGACATCTTGTCTGCCTCTGCTTGGGCCGAGGCTGCAGAGGAGACCAGGACTGGGGAATGGTGTCTGACAGGCTGGGGGATCCGGGATGGCCGGCTACGGCTGGAGCTGGGGATGCCACTACAGCTGCTGGGGCCGCCGCTGTTACCGCTGCTGCTCCCGCCGCCGCCTCCACCACTGCTGTGGTTCCTCTGGTACTCGATCGGGGACGTCAAGGCTGCAGCGGGGGCGAGGGGGGAGGCGGTCAGGGGAAAGGGGGCAGGAAAGGGAACAGGAACAGTTTAAAACAGATATGTCTACTGGCAAAAAGGGGAGTGCTGTTCAAATAAATTTCCTTAGCAGTGGAAAGATGCCACAGACTTCAAGTCACTTTTCTGTATCTAACCTTCATGATCTGCTGCATCTACCTATATTAAAGACTAAAAATCTGAAACTAAGAAGATGTTTTCCTCTAGGATCACACTGTCAGCCAGCAGCCAAGTTGGGGAAAAACAGGTGTCACTCCACATTCTCTGCTTGTTGTTACTCATTACAACCGTTTAAAAAAATCTAGGCTGGGACAACAACTGATGGTTATAAAAATAGAGCAAGAATCTTTTAGTGTCACAGAGGACAATACCACCTTCTACTTTTCTCCTGCAGAATCTGAATGTTGCTGCCACAATAAGATGCAACAACAATGGCCACCAAAATAACAGAAGCAAAACATATTCTGAATAGATGGTTAAAATTCCACTTGGGTTTAGCCTTTAAAGGCTTGCAGTTGCTTAAAAGGGGTACACAAGCTCTCAATGGATGGCACCTATCTTGATTCACTCCTACAAAACATTTGGAAAATTTCACCAAGAGAACACCATGTAAATTCAGACTACCACTCTTATAATAAATGCAAGCATCTGTTCTGAAGCAGAAATGAGGCACATATCACCCAACTGTTCTGTATTAGCTCAGGAGAAAGGCAACTTGCAAAACATTTCAAAGCCAAGAAAAAAGAGATGAGAGAAAAGTCATCCAATTACGAACTTCCAGTAAAAGAAAATAATTTACCATTTAAAAAGTTGCGCTGGTTTTCCAAAATTTGGTTAATTTCATGGATCCATAACTGGCGGACTCCCGGACTGGCAGAATGCAAAATAAAGGTCTCCGTGACATCGCCCGTTCTTGATGTTAGTGCAAATTTACATGGATCGCTGTCCACATTTTCCTCCAGAGAAAGGCAACTCACCTTCATGAAAAAAAACAACATGTATTTTATGGGAAACATATCTTTAAAATCTCTTTCTTAGGAGTTCAGAGTCAGATCTTCAAATGACAACTACACGTTCCTGTAGTAAGATAATACCATAAAATGAAGTTATTTAATTCCAGTAAACAAAGAATTAGTGTACAGCTAACTAACACACTATGCTGGAACAATCTCCAGCAGGTCAGCATGGTCCAATGTTCTCCATCCCTCACTTTCCTTTCAGATTAGTTAAAATGCTGAGCCTGCTATGGAGCTCTCTCTACCACTGGCCCCCAGTAAAGGCTTCAGCTGCACATACAGCAATGCCTTGTACCTGTATATATATATATATATATACACCTGTATATATATATATTACAGCTCTTCAGCCAGGGCTATAAACAGGTTCAGGTGGCAGGCAGAGCACCAAGGTGAATTAGGGGAAGCAGAGTCCACCCAAAACACTTCATGAGTGCTGCTGAGTTCTAATATTATTAGTTTTTTTTCAGGAAAATCTTGAAGTGGGGAAACACTTATTTTGTTTGAGGAATACCTACAAAGGTCACACTACTTGCAAATATTATCTATATATTTGGGTATCAGAAAGGATACAAAAAGAGTTATTATCTCTACTTGCAATGACTTTGCAATGTGGTGTACACACAGCACAGAGCTGAAAACTCTGTGAATACCTGTTCAGCACTTTGTTCAGAAGTCCTGCTTTGATATGCTTCATGCAGGAGGCATCAGAGTACTGGGATCCAAAGATCTCCACTTAACATTGAAGTGAGCACAAATTTGGTAGGAAGTAATTTCAGGAAATGACTGACACCTCATTGTGCTCTATGGCTGCACACCTAGCTGTCACTGGTGACTGCCCACAGAATGAGAAACTGTTACCTTAGCAGAGTTTGTGCAGGGGACACAAAAGACTCACACACAACAGTTACCTTGATACTGTTTTTAAACAAGAATCCGGGCATGGAGAAACCTTTCTTTTTATCTAGCAGCTCACTGAAAATGACAATCTGCTCAAACAGGAAGACCCGTCTTTCCTTGCAGCGTGGCAGAAGTCCTGCATCCTGGTCTGTAACCAAGAATGTGTCCTGGAGCAGGAGCTTACCCTGGGCTACAATTTTACCCTAAACAGAGAGGCAAGAAAAAACACATTTAGTGAAGTTCTTTGTTTCTTTCCCCAATCAACCTTTTTGAGCACATGTTCATGACAAATAGCTTTGTGTATTTCCCACCTTCCAACTGTTATTGACCACTATATATTCACTTCTCCTCCTATACACAAGATATTCTTGTGCTCTTTCTCAAAAAACCACAAACATCAAAAACAAAACAGAACCACACACACAAAAAAAAAAAAAGCCCAAACCAAATCAAAACCAACCAACCAAAAAACCCCCAAACCAACCAAAACAAAAAACCCCAGACCAAATCCCAAAAATCCACACCACCCTTCTCAATTCATCCTGCATTTTGAGGCTTGGAACAGTAAGGCTTTCATTTCTCTATTCTGAATAACTCCAACAATTACTCATATAATCTTCCAGGGTGCTGAGTAGGGGCAGATTTTGAGTTCATGTCTGCATCACAGAATATAAAAATTTTGCAAGTAGAACATGTGACTGTGGCCTGACTGATGCATCCCACTTCAGCATCCAATTTCCATCCCTTCTAGACTTAGCAAAACAAGGAGGGCTACAGCTGCCTCAAGTACATGATGGACCTTATTGTCTCCTCCTTTGTCTGCACTACTGAAGTCAGGTCTGCTCACCTGCTGATAACTAATTATTTCAGTGTGTTGCAATCGTTTAGCTAACAAGGGAACTGTAGTAAGACTGGCCCTTTCTTGATTTTGCAGTTTATCTGGTGTGACTGATACAGCAGGTAATGTTTCCCAGGAAAAAGTCCTTGGCAGGGCTAAGACTTGATTTTTCATTTACTGCATTTTGCACCAGTTAACCATACAGTGAAGAAGCACTGTACACATTTCTCCCCACAATATTAATGATTAATTTCTAGAGAACCTGACAAAATCTCTAAGCAAAACTCCAGCCAACTTACATCAAATCCTTGCAGGCGGCCAACATTCATCATGTCATTACACCGTTTTGGTACTATACACATGACCTCTACAGCTTTCTGTTCAAGACAAATAAAAAGTCAAAGCTTTATTTTCCAAATGAGTTAGCAGCATAAAATTTTATTTAATACGGTTGCTTTAGAACAGAAATGCAAGAAGTAAACACTTATAATCACTTTCTCAGGAAGATCAGAAACGGAAAATGACTCTGCCGGAACAAAAGAAGTTCTGAGTTAAAAGAATTCCTATCACTAAGAGAAAATGTCTCAAGTACCTCTAGTTCTGTTGTGTCAAGATTAGCCTTTTTAGAATACTTGAGGAAGTCCTGAAAAAGAAAAAAAAAATCAAGTAATATTTTTTTTCTCATTAATCATCAACAAGAAATCTTAGAAAATCTGAATTTGATATTCTCTGTCAAAATATGACAGACTGCAGAAGAACCATTTGGATGTAACTCATACAAAAACATATGCTAAGGCAATGACCTCTGTGCTACACAGGGTTGCTCTTCAGTGAACACTTATGTGATATTAAAATGATTGCAGGTGTAGCTGGAAAAGCTGTGATGAGTCCCAACAACTTGTATCACATTTACATCTGAAAACAGTTCAGAGTTCCTTCTCCCATTCCTATGACACTGGTACAAATTTTAAACATTTCCATGGCCTAAACATTTGGTCTTTAACTGTTAAAAGAAAAAAAAACAAATTTCTGCCCAAGCCATCTACTGCAATTTCTGTAACTACCTGAATGTGCTCAGAAAACAATCACATGACATTGCTTACAAAGCTGGGTTCTGTTAGGGAAAGGGGTGGGAAAAACATCAGCATTAAAATTTTCTTAAAAAAGAAAACCTATCTGTTAACACATCTATAACATATCTATTAACACAACTCATTCATCTCAACATCGCTTTACCTTTAGTAACAGCTGGTATTTCATAATTCTCTGCACAGGTTTTATTAGCAAGTCTGTGAGCTGAAGTCTGTGGCCCAGGCGTTGCTTTAGATCCTGAAAGTTGTAAAACAAACATTTTTGTTTGGTTGGTTAGAAAGACCTTTGTTTTGTTGAGTTAGAAACACAGCATATGTATCAATATATGGAGATAAATATATATCTTAGAAACCAAGGTTATATCAGAATTGTTATCACATCAGAAATTGGCAAAAGTCAGAAAATAATCTCATTTCAGTTAGCAAAAGCTAATGACTTTTGCTCCTAAGCTAATCTCTTTTTTGCTTCACCTAATCACTGTTGCTCCCAAGGTATTCCCTTCTGCAAGCATCTTTCACTTCTTTCTTGACAAGGCTTCAGAGTGAACTGTAATTTTTCAGTCACAGGCTGTATACAGCCCATTTTCAAAAGTGATCTCTGCTTATCCAGAACTGCTATTTATTGCTATAAAAAATGCACTGGTAACTGCCTGGGCTAAGGCTACTAAGGCTAAGACTCTACCGATTAATCACTATCTTATACCAAATCTTTAGTTTTCATCTCTAGGCGTCTGTATCCGATTTGAGAAATCAGAACAGAAATGGCAAAAAATTGCAATTTAAAACATTAACAACAATATCTGCTGCATTTTTTTGGTTTTTTTTTTTCTGGTTTGACCAACAGATTTGATAATCCTTCACCTCACATATCCCCTCTCACGAACTTACCTCAAAAAATGTATCAATGTATTCTGAGACAATGTGCTCAGACTTTGGTTTGTTTTGGCAGTAAACTATGTACATGTGCAACCTTCTCTCCTAGAGGAACAAAGACACAAAATGATACATCAATATCAAGAAAAACACATGCCAGATTAAAATGGAGTATTATTTTAAGAAGTATGGCAGTTCATATGTATGCACTTAAAAAGACCCCTTAAAGGAAAAGAAGCAGTTACATATGCAGAAATTACAGACCTGAAAACACATTTATTTGGGAACATCGTTATGATTTCAGAAAGGCAACACAAGTGAAAAAAAATTCCCACAGCTATAAATCCTCCTGAATGATAGGTGTTCAGAGATGATAACTCAGCAGGTCCCACAATAAAGTTAAGCATGAAAATAGTTCTATTTTTCTTTCACCAAGAGCCATGGAAAGTTCGACAAGATGACCCCACAGTGATCCCTTCCAACCTTACCCATTCCATCATTCTGTAATGGAGCCTTTGAAAGACAGTATTTTTTATTCTCTTTTAATAATGTGATTTTTATTGAAATTTATTAGAATAATTACCTCCTCCTGTTTACATGTACAGAACAGTTAGGAGAAAACTTTCATGTCTTTTATTTATTATTGGCTGTCCTACTGGAGTTTGGATGGGGATGTAGGTGATGAAGCCTGGATATGGAGGCACTGGCATTTTTTAACTCTGATCCTTTATCTTGTGCATGTGCTTTTAACACCAAAGCAACAGCAAAAGAGAGAGGAAATAACCTATGCCTTTAAGATTTATTCTTGATTACTGACATCTCTGTTTAAGAAATACAGACATACCTACTCCAAAATCTTTCCTATCATGTTGCTAGGATTTGTTTGGGGTTAGAGGCTTTGCTTCCCAGAGACTTACAGAGTACTGACCAGCGAAGATAAATGGCAAGAAAGAAATGAAAAAATAAGATGGAGATTGGAAAGGACACAGGACACAGATTAAGAACAGGAACTGAATCATTGTGTTCTAGCTGATAGGGTTTTGCTAGAGGATGCTGGAATAGCATCACAGCTTGCCTTTCCATCTGTAGTGGTAAAGGTGCCTTTTAAAGACAACTCAATTACAAATAATACCAGGAGAAAGTAAAACAGCAATCAGAAACAGGGAGAGCTACTTCCTACAGGTTTCTCACTTTGCCAGCAACAAATTCTCAGAAGGGGAAAGGATACAGAACTAGAACACACTCAAACCGGAAGAAGAATGAGGCTCTTTCCTATTTTTATTTCTCATATTCCATGCTATTGCATGGATACCTGGGATTAGAAGGCTGGTGTCATATGAAATGATGATTCCTTTGCACTGAAGTGTAACTGAATAGAGAAAAGGGGCCCACATTCATGTTCCCTCTCCACAGGAAGGTACTGGGGACAAAGACTAGCACATTTACTTCTTTTATTTATCGGCTCTTAAAAGTTATCTCTCCACCTCTTACAAGTGAAGAACATTGTACAGCACTTTCTTAACTGTGCTGTACTTAACAGTCAATCATGTTGGTCAACAGCAGCAATAGTTTGCCAAAAAAGACATTTGTACTTACATGTTTAACAAACAGGGATCCCAGCTTTTCTGGATCTTCAAGGCACTTCTCCAACTCTCCTAAAAAGAAGCTGAACATAAACAGAATAAACAGTGTTTTTTCTGACATCACACATTATAGAAACAGGTCTTACTGCAAGGCAAGACACTTTTGTGTCCCCTATCAGCAGCATTGGATATTAATGTATGTCCAAACTGACAAAGGTAACAGTGTAACATTTCAACACAGCTTTTTAAAAGGACATGCTGAATCCATGCCAAGATGAATAAAAACACCTGGCATTCACTAATACAATTATTAAATTTCATATATATTGATTGAAAACTTTCCCCTTCCTAATCTGAATGCTTGAGATGCTAACGTTGCCCTGCTAACCACACCTAACAAATTCTTATGACTGTATTGTTAAAGAGAAAGCAATGCATAAAGTTCTGTCAATATTAGAGATCCTCAGCTGAAGTACTTGCTATATATATATAAAAAATATATATACACAGGCATCTTTCTTTAAAGCAAATCTTCACACCAACATTTGTAAGCCGAAGTTACATTTTCTACAACTCAAAGCACAAAACCAACTGCATTTGCCTTGTATCTGAATATCTGAGGAAATAATTCCTAAACTCGATCTAATATTTTTAAGGTACAATACGTACTCTCTGTGCCAGTCATAAATCTGGTGAATGTTTCCAAATACAATCTTGTCTTTGCCTTTCATATCATCAGGTACACCATCTTCCTTCATAAGTGCCATATAACCCTGCAACAGTCCAAGTGAAATTCATTGTGAACATTCTTACTTAAAAAAAAGTCAGTTGTCTTCTAGTCCCCCTTTTCCCAGACGATATCCAATGGCAACAACTGTTTGGGACACAAATTCAAACCAGAAAGCACAACATAAAGCACAGACAGAAAGTATCACAAATTGAGGTGAGGCTGTCTACACAACAGTGCTAGAAAAATTAATTCACTGTCTAATTTAGCCCTTGTGAACAGGATCAGAGCATGAAGGAGGGAAACTTCCACAGCCTTTCTCCTTACTGCCTGAAGTGTAAGAGCCACTGAAGTGGCTTCTGTGCTGCTTTGCTTTGTGTCTCTTATTTCACTAACCCCACACCAAACTGCACTGAGGAGGAAACTGCCCATGGGAATGCACTCCATGCACTACTGCTAGCAGTATGAGCAAACCAAACACAAAAAAATTAAAAATAAACTCTGTTAGCAAGCTTTCTTGCTGCAATAAAGTTCCTTTTACATTTTCCCATAGTCCCATCTTAGTTTTGGTGTCTACACAGCTGTCTCACTGAGCAATTCTACCATATAGTTAAATTGGGATTGTTTTCAATTTTGTAATATTCATGTAACTCTATTTCTACTTCTCCCCCCCCCCAGTAGTTCTATTCCTCAATAGCCAGGCCTGGATTTGGTTTGCCAAGTGTATGTTTTGATGTCCAGCATCTTCACCAGAAATTATGTTGTTATTATTTACAAAAGCACATCTATTCAGACTCCTAATGCACCCTTTAAATACTGTAAAAACACTATCACAATGCTGATTGTTCTTTCCCTCCCTGCCTCCAAAATAGAGTTTAAGAATTAAACTTTATTAGGCTAAAATTCATTGTCATGCTCATTCTTTCTACTCTTCCAAATGCATTTTGTTGGTAGCTGAAGACTGAGGGGAGATCTGTGATGTCATCTCATTTTACAGCAGGGGAAGCTAGGAAGTCTAAGAGAAGCCTAGTGGTAGGAGAGGAAGGAGGACCTTCCAAGTCTTGATAGCTGCTCCGTACCTCTGCTGAGGTACATTTTTTTTTTTTTTAATTTATATGTGCTAAATAAACCCACAAGTATTGATAGCCGCTCTGTATGCTGAGGTACAATTTTTGTTTTTAAATTTATATGTGCTAAATAAAGCCACTGTCTACTAGCACAACATCAGGCCAGAGGTAATAAACCCACTGTCTACTAGCACAACATCAGGCCAGAGGTAGGAATTAAAAAAAAAAAAAAGACAAAGAACTACACTCCTTAAAAGAACAAGGTGAACACAGTAACAGAAAAAAGGAGTAAAATGTGATATAGCATTTTTATACATTAAAAGCTTACAGAAGGGAAAACTCAGAATGTAACCTTTCACGTTTTTAGTCTCTTCCTGTGTATCATTTTGAAAAACATAGTGAGGCTCAAGCTACATAGCTGGTTAGTAATACATTTAAAAAAAAATAAGAAATGAAGAGAATTAAAAGCATCATACCTCAACTACGTAGCCCAGATCTCGCACATAATCTCGCTCTGTCTCCACTAATTCCTGTAAGACATAGCTACAGTGGAAGGAAGGTGAACAAATATTAAAAAATGAAACAGATTTTTCAAGAGGATTAATGGCATATGATTTTTTTGACATTTGCAGTCACATATGTTTGATAGAACTGAAATGGAAGAATTAATGTACACTGGTTGTTAGCAAGATACTGCTTTGACTTTGAAACTGGACAAGGCTTGCTTCTGTTTATCCAAAATCAGATGTTTTCTTAAACATGACATTAAAATTAAACATTTAACTATTGTTTAAAATAAAATGCTATTATGTCTCTGGTCTGGAGACTCTTAGCTATACGGACAGTTATTTCCACACACAAGTTTAAAAAATTTGAAACCAGGCATGTTTTTATTCTACCATGGTAACAGTTTACTACTACATAGAGAAATGAAGCATGGGTTGGAATAGAATGAGGGGAATGACCACTTTTTTCAAGCCTAATAGACCTTTGGACATTTAAAGATCAGAATCTTCCCAAATAAATGACAGTGAAATGCAGCACAAGTCAAACACAGGTATGACTAGAATTAAAAATCACAGATTGAATGTCATGGAGAAATGTGACCACATGCTTGACATCTAATACAAGTCCTCCCATTTTCAGACTAACAGCTTCTGCTGCCAGGTCAAAATAAGCTTGTTAAAAAAAAAAAAATAAAGGAAATTGTAATGCCAGTTCAAAATAAGCCTGTTAAAAAAAAAAGGAAATTGTAAAAAACGGGTCTTACTGTCGTCTTTTTAAGGAGCTGGATTTCCTTTCCTCCAAAACTGGTCTTACTGTCGTCTTTTTAAGGAGCTGGATTTCCTTTCCTCCATCTCATCTATGGGTGACGAGGAGGATAGAAGGGAATTATCTGAAGGGTTGAAGGATGGACTGCTGCTGTCACCTTGATCTACCAACAAGGAACTTGGACGGTCCTCCAGAGCCTGAGAAGGTATTCAAGACAGTCAGCAACAATGGTTTATTTCACCTTTATTCACATTCACAGAGACATTATAAGCTGCTGTACAGCAATCTATGGGAGATCAATTACTTTTATGTATCGTGGCAAAGCAAGTCACAAGCCTCCAGGAAACCAGGCAACAACATGGCTTTCCATGACAACTGAGCCTTTGAAGCACATTGGAGAAGCACATTTGAGATGACAGTCTTTCCTTCACAGGAAAATAAAGGAGCTGAACTGGTTTGAGCAGCAGTGGCTAAAAGTTGGACTCTCCTGTTCAGGACGCAAGCACTTCTATGGTGGGAGCGGCACAAATGTGTCCGCATGGCCAGGGATTAAATTATATTTGTCATATTTGACTTCTGGCATATACAAGTTACTTTCAACAATAAATACGACATCTTTAAAGGATATTTTTATGATGTTACATTTTTAACTCAAGAGAAGTGGTGTTCTCTGTCAGACGTTTTGGTTATCTTAATAAAAAGCCAAAGTAGCATCTCAGTGAAGGAAATAATGACTTCTACACTGACAATGTTGTTTATGAGCTTGTTCAGATCGTAGAAAAAAGTCCCTGTATCCTCTTCTAGATACACTATCTCCCTTGCATGGACTCCACAGTGTTCTGTTTGTATAAAAGATGAAGAAGCAATAGGAGGAAATAATATGAATATCTTCTATAAAGTATTCATTGGATTTCTTTAATTCAAGCCCATCATCTTGGATCAAGCCACAGCTATGTTTCACATTTTCCCTGCATGTGATACAGCCTTATTGAAAGACACATTTACTTCACCAGGGTGGGGTTCAGCTATAATCTATTTTCTTTCCTCACAAAAAGTAAAAACCAATAATGATATGACTAGCCCAAAACCCAGGGGAAGCTGAACTTTGGCTAAAACTGTGAAATGAGAACATCTCCCACATGGACTTCATGCATGGATCATTAAGTTATATCCACTGCTAGGCAGCCTGAAAGACACACGGACTACCAAACTTTCCATTTACAAAAGACTGTTGAATTTTGCCACAGATTACTTTGTATTCACCCTGCTGGTGTAAGAGAAGTAGAAAGCAAAGTTAATACCCAAGAGAGTACAGAAATTATTTTTTGCAATAATGCAATTTTCTCTGAATGAGAGAGCACAAAATATAATTTCTAGTTGTGAAAGTTAAAGCTGCTTCAATTTAGAATGAACCTGGAAAATATCAACCTCTGATAACATGGGGCTGCCATGCTTTGCATTGCTTTGCATTGCTTTGCATTTTTCACAAAGGCACTTCCTATTGAGCCCAAGAAGGGCTATGCTGCAAAAGATGTATTTTAAGGTTTTGAGGAAATCCAGAATTGCTGAGGAACCTCTTGAGACTATATAGTCCAATCTCAAACAGGGTCAGCCAGAGAAGTTTTTTCCCAAACTGGGTCAAGCTGGATTTTGAATACAAAGGCCTTCCTGGAATCATGCATATAATGAGAATCTTCAGAAACATAGAAACTTTAAAACATGTCAATGACAATCTTCAGAAACATGGAAAATTTAAAACATAGAAAACTAAAAAAAGTTTACACAAATTCTTCCTACTTAATTTGTTAGCAAGGATGGAGGCACTGACATGCAAAATGCTCCCTTTACTCTCTTACTTATTTCATACCATGTTGCCTAAAGAGCAACCAGATAACATAAATATTTCTGTTTTACTGCTTATTAGGGACACCTGCTTTACTGCTACCCTCATAAGATTTGCAATAAATTTAGTTCCAGGGATTCTTCACATAAAGGTCTACTAGTCTAAGACCCTGGGTCTTTGCATTCTTTTTACTAACAGGACATTTTCTTTTGACTAACAGGACATAGTAAATTTTCTACCATCTCCTCTCTTCCTCCTGTTTATTGCTTTTTTTCTCCTCTACATTGCCATTTACCTATTCAGCAAATGCTTTTTTACAAAATATGACCCTATACATCGACCCACAAAGTGACTTCTGAAACACACAGCAAATTTTACAAGTCAGCGTGAAACATGCAGGTTTTCTCTGAATAGCAAGCTGGGACTTGAAGACACAAGTTCTTCAGACACGTGCCCCTGCTGGTCAGTCTCACCATTTTACTTTTGACGAGCTCCTCAATGGCACTGACGAGTTCTGCAGCACTGGGCGTCTCGGAGCTTGTCGGCCGCACCAACAATCGAGAAGAGGTCTGTGCAAGGACACAAAGAAGGAGAGTCGCAGAGTTAGCCCAGTTCTTGCTCAAGATCAAGAGACTCCCTTCACTTCTCTGTCAGACAAAGGTACCTGACATGTACTCTCAGTGTCATATAACACTAAGATCATCCCTTCCAAACTGAGCAGCTGGAGTTGGAAGTTTCAAGTAAACCCCACAGAAGTTAAATGCTGGGATAAAAATTCCTGTTCCTACATGCAATAGAAGTCGAGGAAATATAATTGCTGATAATTCCTGGCAAATAGCTACGAAAATTGCCTGAGCTGACCCAATGGACAACAGTTTGTTAACCTATTTTATTGCTGCTTAAACAAAGCAACAACTGAGCTGAAGAACACAAAGAGAAATAAAGAAGATATAAAGGAGGAAGCACTATTATGTTAAGAAAATATACACCAATAACTCAGGGGCATTTACTTTTCTAAAAGAGCTGGAGTATATTGCCCAGATTCAGATGGGAAATTGAGCTCACCATTCCTTGTGCCATCCATTTTTCCCAATGGTATGTGTAGAGCACAGAAGATCTCTGGCCTCATAAGCTATAAAATGCCAGTTTATAGATACAACTGAAGGTAAAAGGTGTTCACAGTAAAGGATTCTGGGAGAAGGTCATTAAATTCAGCCTCAGTAATTTGCAAACAGAGTTGTTTGCATATTACATTTATCATTTAGTAACTGTAAAGTGGAAACAGGGTGTAATATGAACTGTACTTCATATTACGAACAGCACAGTGAGCATCATGCAGCACAGGGCAAGCTGTCCTGCAAACGTTTCCAACCAACCAGACAAAGAAACAGCACAAATAATGACTCAACACAAGAGGTTCTGCTCAAACCAAGCATGGGTGTAGCAAGACTCCCCATAAGTAAACACAAAAAAAAAAAAAAAGAATACACAGATTTTAGGTAGTTTGCCTTGTATTTGCCTTATTTGGAAAGGAAAGTAGGGGCTGGGTAAGCAAAGGAAATACAGATAATTTTAAACGGAAAGATACGGGAACTGAGCCAAAGCAGAGACAGAACACAAGTCAACATAATGCTGCATCAGAATTTACAAAAAGAGAAAACAAAAAGCAAAAATAATTAGTTTCATATTAACACAGCTGATCTTGAAACTTTTAATACTGCTTATCCAAAAATTAAATGCAAACAACTTTTAAACTGCCACCAAATGCAAATCCATGACGTGCGCAATGATTCTGCTGAATGAAGGAATGCATATAGTGTGCAGATGAGCTCTTAGGGGAGAAAATGGTTGTGTTATTTAGTGCTATTAGACAAATCAGCATGGTCTAACACATGATGTTTGCATGCACACCAAAAACTGAGCAATCCCACAAGCTGGCCTGTCATTTAGGCAATTTACATGCTCCTGACATCTGACTGTTGACCAGGTTTTCCACAGCTTGTGCCTGCATGTGGGTTTTCACTTTGGGTGCAGAGCTCAGGATAGTCTTAAAAAACACTGTCAGTGTTGAAATCAGGTTCTGGTTATTGCCTCTTTTATTGCTCTGTTGGGGTATGTGCAATGTTAAGTAAAACTTCAGAACTGTGATTTCCAGTGCCTGTGCTTATAGCACGTATAATCTGAAAAAGAAGGAACTGCATAGATAAAAATCCTTGCTGACATTCCTGATGATGCACTCTGGGAACAGAGCACATCCCTTGCACAGAAAAGAAGGAAAAGCTGGAGGGAGCAACTGAGCTCAAGCATGTGTGAGATGCTGCTAAGGACCCACAGCAGGCTGGGAAGGGAAGGAGAAACCCAGCAAACAGGGAGTTTCCAGCACTGAGCAGGAGCTCTGGAGAGGAAGAAATGCTTGCAGGGAGGCAGAGATGAATGCCAAGTTTCTGAGGTCACAGAAAGGAGGAGACATTCCTTGAGATCCGGAGTAGCTGAGCAACCCAAGAAACCACCCAGCATGGCAGGAATGTGAAGAAGGACTCCACCCAGAAGGCAGACAACTGGGAACTTGTTTGCAAGCCTTTATTGATCAGTAACTCTATCAAGAGAGCCAACTACCTTCTCCTGGGTAAAACTTGGCTCTGGCTTCTCACTTCTCACTGCTCCAATAAAGCATTTACTTAAGGTGATAGAAGTTAGTGGTGTGTGGACTTCAGAGAGGCACACACAACCTCCCAGGATGCCCCCATGAGGGGACCTTTTGCCTCCCACCATGAAGGATAAATATTGCATAATAACACATTGCAGAAGAATCACTGCTTACACGCTTTGAAAAATTATGGTATAATATTAACTTTACCAAGTTTTAACTTTTCTGAAGTCTTCTCTAAATGTAGTTTCATCTACTTTAAAGACTGCCCCACCATGCATTTACTGATGTGGGTGCATGTTAGCCTTTTAAGAAGCTGTGCTGGTTTTGGCTGGGGTAGACTTAATTTTCTACATTTTAAGAAGTTGTGCTGGTTTTGGCTGGAGAAACTTAATTTTCTTCACAGTGGCTGGTATGGGGCAGCATTTTGGATTGGTGCTAATAAAAGTGTTGATAACATGGAGATGTTTTTGTTATTGCTGAGCAGGGCTCACACAGAGCCAAGGCCTTTCTTGCTTCTTTGTACTGCCCTGTTGGTGAGGAAGCTGGGGGTGCTTGGGAGGAGACACCAAGGGGTCTCACCAGGCCCGGTGACCCCAACTGAGCAAAGGGACATTCCAGACTATGTGACATCATGCTCAGTGTATAAAGTGGGAGGAAGGAGAAGGAAGGGGAGGACATTTGGAGTGATGGCATTTGTCTTCCCAAGTCACCATTATACCTGATGGAGGCCCTGCTCTCCTGGAGATACCTGAACACCTGCCTGCCCATGGGAAGCAGTGAATTAATTCCTTGTTTAGCTGTGCTTGTGTATATGGCTTTTGCTTAATCTCAATTCACATGTTTTCTGTCTTTTACTTGATCCATTCTCTCCCTGATCCCACTGGCAGGGGAGTAAGCAAGCAGCTGGGTGGTAGTTGGTGGCTGGATGGGTTTAAACCACAACAGTAGTGAAAATAAAATTTACTGGAGATGAAAAGCTACTTAAAGAGTCTTTCTCTACTGTGGTACAGGTCTGACTTTGCACCAGAAATACAGAAGTAAGCAGACACTAGCTGACAAGCATATCCCTTTCTGCAAGTGTTCTTGGTATGTAAAGAAGTCTATAATGAAATAAATCTTTCTGTGGAAAACTTTTTAGAATATTTGTAATCAGTTGTTTTCTGTCAGTGATGAAACACTGAAAAATATGGCAGCTCATCAGCAAGAGCTTAAATATATTTTCACCAACATTATTTTCATCTTATTTCAAAATCTAAAACTGAGATTGTTCTAGTAAGAAAACATTCTCTCAGCTCTGAAGGCTGGCCTATTTTTGCTTGTTTTGTTTCAGGAATATTTCCCAATATATTAACTCTTCAACTCATATATTATACTTTGTCAGTTCAGAAGGCACGTAGGAATTGAATGCACACAGTTCATAAGAATCGGCCATTTTGACCCTACAAACAACAGCTTCAGGAAGGAGTGAGATTCCCACTGAAAGGCAGTGTTTTTAAAAGGAAAAAAAAAAGGAAAAATAAATAAGATCCACTAAAGTTATGAATAACATCTGCACCACTGAGAACAGACAGCAAGCAATCACAAAATTCACTAACAATATTCAGTGCTGTAGATTACAATTCTACAAAATTAAAAATTTTAAGGAGCAAAATGGCAAGAAAACAATGTGCATATTTGCTGCACAAGTCCAGATTATTTCCATTTTAAAACCCCTCTATTTCCAGACTTGATACTTGTCCCTTAAATGTCTGATCCAGGTTCAAAATTGTATTGAAATAAACTCTCTCAATGTCTGATCATCATTAACATTAAAGAAAACCAGATCACATGCAAGTAAGATTTCCATCATGCAGTCACTACCTACATCCAAAGTTTTATTACCGGTGTGAAATTTTTACCATCAATTTTAATGTGCCTTTGTTTGTGAAAAACAGATGGATGATGTGCTGGTTTTGGCTGGGACACTTAAATTTCTTCACAGTAGCTGGTATGGAGCCATGTTTTGGATTTGTGCTGGAAGCAGTGTTGATATCTCATCAGGGTTGTTTCAGCTATTGCTGAGCAGAGCTCACACAGCACCAAGGTGCCTTTTTTGTCTCTCACCCCACCAGCAATGAGAACGGAGGGCACAAAGAGCTGGGAGGGGACACAGACAGGACACCTGACCCCAGCTGAGCACAGGGATATTCCAGACCATATGGCATCATCCTCAGCATATAAAGCTGGGGGGAAGAAAAAGGAAGGGGGGGAGATTTGGAACAATGGTGTTTATCTTCCCCAGTCCCCGCTACACGTGATGGAGCCCTGCTCTCCTGGGGATGGCTGAACACCTGCCTGTCTATGGGAACTGGTGAATGAACTCCTTATTCTGCCTTGCTTGTGTACATGGCTTTTGTTTTACCTATTAAACTATCTTTATTTCAACCCAAGAGTTTTTTCACTCTTCCCCTTCTGATTCTCCCAGGGACAGTGGAACAGTGACTGTGTGGGGCTTAGATGCTGGCTGGAGTTAAACCATGACAATTACTACCCTTATTTGGTAATTCCTTTCTTTTAGGCATCCCCCAAAAAAACCCCAACAAAAACCAAGAAAAACAAAAGGTATGATTATAAAACAATTAGACTCTAATCACTAAATATGGCATCACCCAAAGTGATGTAAATCATCCTGTGAGCACACAAAGCAGTTCATTTCCACATCTAAAGTGCTAGCAGAAAAATTTCTACACTTGTGCTTTTAAAATAGAGAAGGATTTAATTCATGCTCTCAACATAGAACACCCTTTTAAAATTGTCTAGAGGGCAAAAGTGATTACTTCTGTCTACCATGAAGCTGTATTATGTACATTTTTGAGACCTTTGGAAGCAGAAGAAAAAAAACTGTGCAAACAGAAGTTATCTCATCATGTGAAGCCTCCTCCACGTCCTGCTCCTACCTTGTCATCCTGCGAGTCGGGCTGGAGAAGACTGTGTTGCTGAATTGCCATGGGAGGAGGGAGCGGCACAGCATCTGCTCCCTCTTCGCCCTCCTCCTCTCCGCAGCTCTGCATGCCTGAAGAGGATGACTTGGAGAGAGTGCCACTGCTCAGCCCCTCGTTCCGACCTCTCTGTAAGTAACATCAAGATGTTCAAGCTCTGTTATCTCGGAGCATGAAGTTACCAGCATGAAGCTTGTTATCACATGCTCGTTTTAAGACTATCCTGTAGTTTCAGCCCTCTCCCAACAATTCAAGATGCTCCTACAAACACTCCTTAACAGAGGGGAAAAATGCAGATGCCAAAGACAGTTTTCAATGTCTGGTAAAAGCAAAAGAATTCAAATACTAAAAAAAAGACATTCAGCTGAAATTTACTACAGGAAAGTGTTATGAAAGTCATGCTTTCTTTCCAAGTTTGCTTCTGCAAAGAGAAATCTGTATCTCTCTGAAATATGTATCTTGCTCTGTATCACAGCAAGGCTTTTGGAGGACATAAAAAACCCCTATTACAACATGAAGCAGTTAATCAATTATCCTTTCTGTCCCAAACAAGGAACTCTGATTTCAAGTATCCGAAGTTTAATGCACTGATCTCACAGAATAATTTATCTACCTTTACAGGAAGATAGCATAGATGGTTACTTTTTTTTCCTGACTTTAAGGCACTGGCCTTAAATTTTTCCCTTCGCTCACAGAACTGCAGAATAACAGATACTGCCAAAATGATGTTACAACTGCAGCACAGAGGGTCTCTTTCTACAGCCTGACATTCAAGGTCAGAGGCCAGTATTCATTCCTAACCAACATCTCTCAATTCATCATGCTGCCAAGTCTTCCATCTTCCCTTTCCCTAGACGTACTGTGGATCTTCACTAGTGTTCCAAGCATGTAGAAAAATATGTTGGGAAGAAGAAAAAAAAAAGCAGCAATAAATAAAATATTGGGCAACTGAGACCGCTTTTCTGGATGGTTAAGTACCAAAACCAATAGTCAGAGTCAATCTAATAAAAGGGAATAACATACACCCAGCTGTGCCCTTGGAAGCAGTAACATCACATTCATTTCAGCCTGAACTGTAGGCTTGTAACAGAGAATTTGGCTCTTCTCTGCACCTAACTGGAGGCCAGCTTTGTTCATACAAGAGTCCCAGACTTTGAAGGAGAGGGAGATGTTTGTGGGAAGGAGGGGAGCCCTCAGTAGGCATCCTTGGTGGTAAGATTTGGAACATTTCACAATTTCCTTCTCTCCGATGAAAACTTACAGGCATATTATTTGACTGGTGGTAACTGGCCTGCATCGTAGACCCCATAATTTTTCTGTGCTCTGACTCTTATGCAAGGTGCAATTAGAGCTTTAAGCAGTTAAGCAGCTCTCCCTACACTTTCCCTGATCCATCAACAAAAACGCAAAGGAAATACAAAATTACCTGATTATTCCCAGACCTTGAAGTGCCTTTACTCATTAAACCACTTTCCTAATTAGCATAAGAGAGTAATCCAAAGGACAACTTTTTATTCTCCAGTTTCTCTTTTTAAATTATAAGCACTTCACAGAGCTTCACTAACACTCTTAGAGGGCACAAACTGTCCCTGGTGCAGAGTACAGGGATCCAGGATGAGCACTTGGCTCACTAGCACTTTGCTCCTGACTGCTGGACAGTCAGGTGAGGAGACAACCTTCACCTGACAACATACAGTTCCTTGAAAAACAATACACTCTAGTCTTGGGAAGCTGCATTGAGCACTTACCTCTTCAACAGTTTCATCTTGTGGGGTTGCTGCACTGTCGTCGGAGTCCTTCTGAGAGCCTGCATCGGCACTCTTACGCACCTCTCTGCTCTTCTTATGCTTGTGGGCCAGTTTTTTGACGTGCCCATCTGCTTTGCCACTGCTCAGGCGCCTCACAGGACTGGTGAGCCATTTCCTCAAGGTGTTGCCAGGGCGCTTGGGGCCCGGGGAGCTTTGAGCACCGATCATGTGGGGCTGAAGTGACGTTACGGAAGCGGGAGGACTGGCATCATTGCTGGAGACTGAAAGGGAGTCTGGAAAAAAGAACAAGGGGAGCACTTTAAAGCTGAAGCAAGGGAGAAACAAGGCAAATGGATGTATGTAATAATGGAGATGGAATTGAATTTATGGACAAATCAATAGGATTTTTTAGAGGTAACCTGGCCTTTAATGACACCGCAGCTATCAGTGCTCATGCTGCACATGGCCATCCATGTATAAGCACCATTGATGTGTTTAGAACAGTCAAGCTTCATTGAGTTATTCTTGCCTCAACTATAATTCCTACTTCCTACTGCTGATACTTATTTGATAGTGAATTATACTTTCCATATGTCATGTAACTTTATGGAAGGATATGCTTGTTTTATCTTTTAATGTTTATTGCTTTGAGCAAAGATGAAGGGTAACAATAATTGCCTCAGTGAGATAAGCAAATCATTTTTCAAACACCAAATTTAATTACGAATGCTCCAATTACTTCTGTTATTTATATATTTCCCCTACCCTTGGGATGGAGGGAAGAAGAAAACAGAAGACAGTTAAATGTTTTGTCTTTTGCTTAAATTTTCTCTGAGTTTTGTCTTTGTTTTGTTTGTTTCTTAGAAAGGCACAAAGCAATGTTTAAAAGCCCACTTGCTGAAATCTCAGGATCAGCAGTAGTTCTCAGCATGACACGCTTGAAGTTCTGTAATGAAACAAAGGATACACTTTTCTCAAGCCGTAGTTAAATGTGCATGAGGTCAAAAACACTTTCCCACCAAGGTTCCTGTCACTTTACTGGGACTGTATGCTTATGATGAACACCCACTGGTTAGCTGTTGTGAGACTAGATTGCTTTTCTTCCCCATGCAGCACAATGTTGTTTCCCCCAGCAATTCTTTTTTCCTAAAAGTACTCTTTCTTGCGGGGGGTGAAGTGGGGGCCTGGAAATATTCTTGCAACACCACTCTTAGAAATATTGCCTACCACTCATATATTAGCAAGGCTATCCTAGGTTGTTAAATATGGGGTTCTTTTCCTCCCTGTGTATGCACTTTTGCAGACAAATAGTTTAGATAAGGATGACATAAATAATGTTTTGTTGAATGTTTCTACTGCTGGAGTTAAAGGCAGTGCTTGTGCTCCTTCTTGAAGCTTGACACAGATGTTCAGGTCACCTCTTCTGGCAGCTTTTCCCTAAAGGTGTATTGCCAGTCTGACCAGAGATAGTTTGAATTTTGGGGAATAACACGGTCACATTGATGTAGCAATACACTTAATCATAAACATCCAAATGCTTGGATCCACACACAAATATGTGAGGCTGTTCCATTTCCATGGAGCACTAAGAGTAAATGATGGTTTTGAATAGCAATGGGGAAAGAGACATAAAACGTGGCTATAAAAAGATGGGACTTGTTATTTTTCCTTCATGTTCAAGCTGTTTCACAAAGGGCATCCTTTCCTAGGAATCCAAAATGTGATCTATCATGCTGTTTATGAAAATGTTTCCCTGTTCCAATAAAATCCATGGCATGTCACCATTAAGATACATCAGCTCTGGTGCCAAGAACATTTGTAGCTTATACTGTATGAACACACACATAATAATTGCTGTTAACCACCACCTTCTTCATGTTTCCACAAAGCTGAAGATAAACTTTATAGAGCATACTTTCAGCCTAACAAGCTAGCTGCTAACTCTTTAAACCAAGTCATTCCTGCAGAATTATCTTCCAGCACAAGCTGTAGCTGTTGTGAGCATAGGTAAGGAGAGTTCACATGGTGCCATTAACCTGGCTTCAAGGCTTTAAGTAATGGGTATCAGAAAAAAAGCAGATGAAAAGCAACATTAGTTGTCTTTGTCTCTAAATCTTGGGACAGCAGTGCTGAGAACTGCTACATTATTTTCTTGCTGAAGTGGAAAGCATAAGGAAGAAATTAATTATCTATAGCAATGGTTTTCAACTTTCAATCTGAGTATCCCTCAAGACACTGGGATTACTGCTTAAGGGTTCTCAGCATATATGCAAGAAAAGTAAGCCTACTAGCCATCAGCATGCACATCATGACAGATTTTTTACTTCATTAAAAAAACGCAGATCTGCTTATTAAAAAAATTCCAAACAAAACTTGCAACCATCTGCAATCTCTCCACAGGAATCCAAACAATCTCCTATAAAACCTCTGTAAAAATTTAGTTTGACTGCTCTTTCATCAAACTTATCTTTACCTTGACTGCATCATGCATTTTAATCATTATTAATTGCCTTATTTCAGAAATCACAGCAAACATCAGCTGATGAGTATTTCAATAAATAACCTTCTGCTACTCTGCTAGTGGACTACAGAAGATGAGAAAACAGTAAGTTTCTTAAAGCACCAAGTAAATGCCTTGTTTCCAAAGGCATTTACAACAAGCTTGAAGATGTTATAACTACTCAGCCAAATTTTTCTTTCATTTGTATATAATTTTCCTCTCAATAACAGTTCACACAAGGTTCCTTCCCCGCAAATAAAATAGAGAACATTCACTCGTTTACATAAGAAGAAAAAATTAAGCCTTTGCAGAAGTCGACCATGTACTGTTTTGTATTTTTCTATCTGTTGCATTTCTTTCCTTTGCAATTACTTCTTTCTAACAAAAAGGCAGCATGGTGGTGCAGTAACTGATTACATACAATTGACTTTTACATAAATGTGCCTATTCCTAAGCATGCAACATGCCTCCAGTTAATAAACCCCTTCTTTTTATAAAGTGTGTTCCACCTCCTCAAATTTTCACACATCTTTTTGACAAGCTACACTTAGCAACTACTGAATTTCTTGTAAAACCAAGCAGTACAGGACAGAGGCCCTGAAATTGCTGAAGGCAAGTATTTTTGTCTGACTGTACTTCTGTTGTACCACTCCTAACTCTTAACCCAAGTCAGCCACGAGTTTTTGGGCAGGAGGAGGGAAAAGAGCACAGAGAAGTAAGTACACTGTGCTCAAGCAGACAGGATCTAAGAGACAAAACAATGTAAGCCAGACATGTTCTGCAGCACATACTTCAGCCATATCCTCCCACACAACATTAGTTTTCATTTGGCGTGCAGCATGTAACTGCTTCTTATCTTCGCTTCTGCATGACTTAATATGAAATCCTTACTGAAGTATTATTAGGGCTTCAGGGAATCACAACAGTGGACATCTCGTAAGTAGTACACTGAAATGATAGCACTGTTCCACTTTGCTCTTTACAGCTTGAAATCACTCAGAGAGAAGGAAAATCACAAAGGTTGGGGACCTTTGGAGATCAGCTAGACCATGCCCACTGCAGAGTTTACAGGGTTGCCTCCAGGCAGGTTTTAAGTATCTCCTGAGAAGGAGACTCTACAACCTTTCAAGGCAAACTGTTTCAGTGTTCTGCCAGCCTCAAAGTAAAGCAGCTCTTTCTTATATTCAGATGGACCTTTCTATGTGTCAGTTTGTGCCCAATGCCCCCTGTCCTGTCACTGGACACTGAAAAGTGCTTGGGCACATCTTCCTGAAATCTACCCTTAAGATACCTGTATGCATTGAAAACACCTCTTTTGAAAATAAATAAAAATACTTCATTGCTATAAAAGCATCAGCCCAAAGATCAAATTTTATTAAATAGGTCATTAAAAAATAGAGATTTAAAATCATCAGCGTTAACCTGAAAAGAATACCAGCCCACTAGGTCTCTTCAGTGATCAGATCTGACTTTTTGCCCTTCCTTAAATTTGCAGAAAACATCTCTAAAACCTCATAGCTAACACTCACTAGAAATATTCCATGCCAGTGTCTTCCCAGTGAGACCCTATACCATCTATTTTCCCATCCCAGCCAAGAGGCATCCAGATTTTCCACTCATTGGTTCCCATCTGTTTCCTCAGGACCCCAGTAGCAATACTAAAGCACAGTCATGTACAAAACCTGGGTGCCCATGTTCATGTATTTATGTGGAGGCATTGCCAGATTGAAACATTAGGGAATATCAATATCCAGTACAAGAGCACAGAAAGACCTTTCACCTTCATTGTGAGAAGAGCCCCATGGGAGTGTATCATTTCTCCCTGTCCCATCACTATAAACTACTTCTATATAATTAGGGATATAAACTTGGTTTGATTGATTGCCATGCTTGGGATTGTTTACACTAAATCAGCTTTGTTTCCTTTATGACTACATAGAAAATTGTTTTTCTAGCATTGCTCAAGAATATTTTATCTCTAAGATACTTCCTCTCTAAGAGGAAAAAAGGAGTATTCAAAATTGAACTGAGAACAACATGGAATTTTAAAACCAAAACAGATGGAATAAATTTGGGGTATGCTAACCCCAAATGTGTTTCAAGTACAGTAAACTTTCTAGTGAGAATCAGACTCCCTTTTAGAAAAAGATAAAGGAAACAGATGGACATCTTGGAGAGATGAAAAACCCAACACACTATATATAGCAATCACACACAGCAACACCAACCCAACAAGAAACCATCAAATTTAATAAAACCACTACTTGTTCAAGTAGAGAAAGTTCTGCAATTCAATAAAGTCCAATAAAGTAAAGCCCTAATGGATGGGCTTTGCTTTATAATTCATAGCCACAATAAGAAAAGAAGGCATTTAACTGCCATTTCCCTGAAAGTAAAAACCACATATGTTGCTCTGGTAGTGAGGTCAGAGGGTTCACTCAGAGTCCATAAATATATTTTTGAAGCTAAAGGGCAGGCAGCATGGGTTCCTACCCCCTCAAACTAGAAGATAAAGTTACCTCCAACAAACAGGCAAATTTTTGAAACGGGAAGGGAAATGGGAATTCTCATTCTAGTCCCAGCTTTCTTAACACTAGAAACATGCACATCTGTGATTAATAAACTGCTTTTTTCCCTAAAAAATAAATCAGCCATGTTAAGCTAGTTGATGACTTGAAAGACTCTGCTTCATATTAACTATTTCCATATTGCTGGTTTTTTGAGTTTTACTGCAGGGGGCTACAGAACCTGTGGCTCCTTTACCTATGGAATCAAACTAAATCTGCTTGATGC